AGTATCAGTGAATATTAAATGTATCAGCTCATACTAGATATGTATCATCATCATCATAAACTTGCATTTCGTTACTTGTTATTGGCAACTAATGTGGCTCATCAACCAATATAGAGTTGGACCTATTGAAAACTAGTAACACAAAGTTAGACCAGGACTAAAAAAAAAAAAAAGTATCCAATGGTTTGCGTTTAATTACAATTAGGGATGCACAACATCATTTAAAAAAAAAGTTAGAATCGACGATAGATATTCATTTTGCAAGGAGATTATTAATTTTAACAGTGTTATTTTTAAAAAAGTACAATTATGGGAAGTTAAATTTTAAGGGGGCCATATGATGCAATAAATCATTATAATCCGTAATTATGTCCCCACTGGATGCAACAAATGCTCGTTTATAATGGGTTTTTAATGTTTTTGTCTCATCGCTCCATCACAGTATGCTAGGGGCGTAACATTTTCGTCACACGCTTGAGGTATTCGGCTAATCACAACGCACTGGATAGCTGGCCAATCAGAGCACACCTCCCTTTTCAGACCGACGAGCTTTGTAAAAACCGACGCGTTTCAGAAAGGTGTGGAAATGTGGAAAATAAAAAAAACCAACATAAACACATTTCATTACACCAAATACACAAAATAATGTTCTTTTTAACAACATCATATGACCCCTTTAAAAAAATAAACATTTAATTTAAAGTTAAATATTTAATATCAGCAAACGTATATAGCTGTATATTATAATAAAATAATAATTTATAAAAATGTTGTGATGCCTAAATTTACTAACATAAAATTACTGATTTATTTATAATTTATTAAAAAATAAAAAGATTTATTGTCTTCCATTTACTGTTTAACAATAAAATAACAAAATTCAGGTCAATACACAATATATTTAAAGTGAACTGCAAAACACTGAGCTATACAAATCTATACACCGTTAGAGAGTGTAGAGGGGCTGACTTACTTTCTGAAGAAAACGGATAGGATATGAAAATCCTGAACCACACTGTTGCTTTCTATAGTGGTCGGGCCGTTGTGGCTCTGCTCCAGGTATCAGATCATTGGGAATCTGTGCAGAACTTCCTCCAAAAGCTCTCAGAAAAGAATTTTGGAAAGCAGGGTGTAGATTTATAATAAGGTCTACAGGGAGCAACTATATTCATCTCTGATCAATATGCAGTCACAGCACAGCTAAATAAGTTGTACAAAGCTCAGACTTGAGCAAAAAAAAGTTAGCTTTATCGGATGTAGAACAGGATCGGGCCACAGCATGAGCCAGATCTAAATCCATGTTCCAAGGAGAATAATATATGTTTCTTCGACATATGCTGACATATGCTAGACATTTATACATCATCATGGGACAGTTATTTTGAAAGGTCATTGCAGATCCCTTACAATCCAAGACAGCTTCTCCTACGTCTGAACCAATGGATGACAGAGATAAAGCTCAAACCTGAAAAAGCATCTCTGCCTTCAGGTTTTCATTCCTTCTCATGTGTTCTGTAATACATGTAACAAGGAGAATGGATGTAATCTGTGAGAAATATAGTAAGTAAAGGCGCAACCTGGAGAAAGCAGAGCAAGATAAGACTGAAGACCACATGGAGAAACATCACAGGTTTAACTTCTATATGGCAAAAAAGAGGGACTATTCAAAATCATGGACTAAATAAAGAGCAGGGTGCATCCTAAACAAGTAAAGAAGATGGTTTGCATCCAGCATGTTCCACATAAGTAAATACAATTAGAGATGCAAAATAAAATAAAATAAAATAATTAGAAATGTACAGAATAAAAGATGGACAATAATTTTGCAATTATATTATTAATTTTAACAGTGTTTGTGTTATTAAATATTAACTTTGAGTGCTAGATGATGCCAAACATAATTGAAAATGTAAAATTATGGGAAGTTAAATAAATTAAATATATAAAAAAATACAAATTAAATTTAAAACGAAATATTCAATATTAGCAAACGGATATTTCTGTATATACACAAATAATTTAATTTAAACTAAATTATTTTATTTGTGTACATTAAAACCCCCCCCCACACACACACACACACACACGGTATTCACTGTAAAAAATTAAAAGTTGAGACAACTTAAAAGTTTAAGGCAACCAGCTTCAGCAGATTTTTGAGTTTTTTCAACTTGTTGTTTTCAGTTTATACAACAAAAAGTTGAGAAAACTCAAAAATCTCCAACAAAAACAAGTTGAGAAAACTCAAGTGCTCAACTGCTGAAGCTGGTTGCCTTCAACTTTTAAGTTTTCTCAACTTTTTATTTTTTACAGTGTTGGCTAATACCCAATATGGTACCAACATATTGTGCAATATATAAATACAAACTAATAAAATAAGATTAAATATTTCATTCAAAGGCACTGCTACAAGATTATTCAATAAATAAACTATTTTTGGAGGAATAACTATATAGTAATAAATACTGCTGCTGTGATATAAAATTACTCATACCATGATATACACGATTTTAGTTACACCACCCACCTCTGTGTGGGCCGGTGAGAATGAGACAGAAGAAGAGAGAGATTAGACGCTTTCATTAATCTTATTTAGCAGTGGAAAGTGAATGCCCTTGATTAGAGATCTCAGCTCGTCTGCAAAGCATCTCTCTGGCATCACCTGCAGAGCGGCAGCGAGCTCTCTCCACCCCGCTGCTCCCACGAGCCCGCAGTGCCGCAGTCTTATGACTGTCGTTTTGTAAGACAGTTAATTCCTCAAAGCAAATGAAAGAAACCTCGAAGGGCCCAGAATCACAGAATGCTCCAGACCCCAGGCACCCATGTCTTTAGATGGCTTACTTCTAAAAACAAGAGGCGCTTTTCACCAGGGACGTGCAAAGCCCCAAGGTTTTGTTAAGCTTCTGCAACAAGCGCTGAGAGTGTAGAAACCGCTCTCAAACAATGCCAGCTTTGAAAAGCCATTCCCATCAGCCTGAATGAACACGCTGAACTCCCTCAAATCTGACAGGCTTCGTGGTGAGATGCAGAGCGGATCATAATAAAATCAGCTCCGGTTTTGACTTTGACAGAAGGAACGAAAAGACCCTGCTCTATTAATCGCCTTAAAATAGCACAGAAATGATGTAAGACCTGAGAGGACACAGTAAATGCTGAAGTGCTTTTAAGCGCGTTGCTAATGAAAGTGTATTACGATTTTTCTTTGAATAATCCGGTATTGATTCTTAACTTCCCAAGATTGATCTGTTAATCCAAACCTTTTAGTGCATATGAAAATATTTGCTAAATATTGGTAGCATGTGTCCAGTTTCATCCAATTTTGCAAAATTACAACCACTATAAATATCATGACAATTCACAAATCTCATTGAAAATAAATTGTGTCCTAGTGGGTAACTTTTTCCAGGCAGCTTTTTAATATGCTACTTACTCCAAATCTGAAATTATGCTGTCATCGGTGTCATTATATTAGCTTTGTGCAGTAACCTGTAACAGCCAAACTGAAATAAATAGTAAATCAGTGTCATTATCCAGCCTAAAAGTGTATAGGCCAACTGTCTGAATGGTAACTGGCGTCAATGACAGAACTTGATGCACGTCATCACAGTTGAAAAGTGAGAGGTAAATGATTCCAGGCCTGTGTAATTTCATCTCTGAGGCTGCCGTATGTCTCTTCTGGCAAAGTGATGGAAACCTATCGCAAAGGCTATATTCATATCTCCTTTGTTAAATAAATTAATGCAACTCTTAAATTCTTAAAAAGCTGGGTCATATTAGCAGGAGAAATATATGTCATTTTCCATTGGTCTTCCACAGAATCCGAGAACCTACTGGGTGATGTATTTAAAAAATAAAATAAATTGGAAATGTAGCTCCCTAAATGCCTCCACAGAATATGTTCCGTCACTAAAAGAGAAATCAAGGCATTATTTTTACACTGTTTTCACTATGAACACTACAAAATAATAATAATAATAATAATAATAATAATTATTATTATTATTATTATTATAGCATATATTATACCGTTCAAATGTTTGGGGTCAGTAAGATTTTTTTTTTAAGATTTAAGAAATGAATACTTCTATTCAACAAAGATACATTAGATTTATCAAAAGCTACAAAAAATGCAAAAAGAAAATTGCATTAAATAAAATGGTCACACTATTTTAAGGTCCAATTCTTGCTATTAACAAACCATTAACTATGACTTTTGCTTCAATAAACTACTAATTTGCTGCTTATTAATAGTTAGTAAGGTAGTTATTAAGTTTAGGTATTGGGTAGGATTAGAGGTGTATAATATGATCATGCAGAAATTGTACTTTATAAGCACTAATAAACAGCAAATATAATAGGCATGCTAATAAGCAACTAGTTAGTAGTGAGAATTGGTCCCAATACTAAAGTGTTACCAATAAAATAATTAAGTAGAAAACCCTTATTTTAATTTTTTTGTAATGATATTTCACAATATTACCGTTTTTACTGTATTTTTGAACAAATAAATGCAGCCTTGGTGAGCAAAAGAGACTGCAAAATCTTGCCAAAAACACAACACAAGGACTTCTGCAAACAACTGAACCATAATGTCAATGACTCATGAACGACATTAATCAAAACAGATATTCTGAACCGATTCACAGAAATGTACTAACACATTTTTGCTGCTGATGTCAGCAGACACTAAAACATCTGCCTTAACAGTCTCCCAGTTGTGAGTCACGAAGAAAGGACAGATCATGAAAATGGAGAAAAACACACTGCATTAAAATCACTGCAATGGTCACAAATCGATGTATCGCTACATAACTAGTGCCTACAGTTCTGATGAAGGCCTCGGAGAAACCCTACACATCAGCAACAGGCACAAAGCAACAGTTTGTTTTGCACAAGATTTAATTTGCTGCATCTTACCATCAGTCTTCTACCTTCCTTTTTTTTTTTCACCGCATGAACAGCCTCTGTGTTTGAGTGTGTATCACTGCAGATTCACTTACCTGCTATTATAAAGCAGCGGATGTTGCTCCAATCTCTTACAGGCTTGAACAAGATCTTCCTGCTGCGAGTCTCCACGTCTTCCTGAAACACAAAGAGGAATAAAACATCAGGCCAGAGCTAAAGTGGTTCTCTCTACCGATCCTGATCCTAAGAGCAAATCTAAACTGAGAGGACTCGGTGAGAGAAATGAGCACCATAAATGGAGAAATTCCCCCAAACCCAGCTGTCACACATTTTATACTTCATTTACACTTAACAATCACTGTTTAAACACCTCCTCTCTGCTTCCACATACAACTGGGGAAGTTTCAGTTTCCTTCACTAGTAAAGACATTTATTACATTATAGACACACACACACACACACATATGCACATGAACAACTAAAAATGTTTTAATGTTTTTGAAAGCTTTTAATAATCAAAGCTGCATATATTTGATTAAAAGTGCAGATAAATAAATAAATAAATAAATATATATATATA